CGGGGGGGGGGGGGGGGGATAAGTAAAAATTTTGCAAAATATGTTAAGAAAATTAAAAATATAAACCGAACAAGTTGTCTATATGTTTTTCTTTGCTTTTGCATAGTGAATATTGTTCTGCTGATCAACATGTCATGAGAAGGGCTTGTGTCACAAACCTGAAGTGCAGTGATGCAAATAGAATGTATGATTTCAGTTGTATTTTATTTTTGTTTCAATTTCCATACAGGTAAAGATGTGTTTGAGGCATTTTATAAGAAAGACTTAGCCAAAAGACTGCTGGTTGGGAAAAGTGCATCAGTAGATGCTGAGAAGTCCATGTTGTCAAAGCTTAAACATGGTAGGTGCTTTCAGATGTGTTAAATTTTTATTACTTTTTCACGTGTAAATTGGAATCCTTATTTTCTCATGCTTTAAGAAGTGACGAGCCAGATTTTAAGTAATAGCTGAGTGCATTGCAGCTTTCATTGTGCTCAGTGAGAACTGTTGGGCTGACCTCTCAGATATGTGACTGGCTCATTTAATGTACCCAGAGAGGAGCAAAATCCTTAAAACATGTACCTAGTTGTGGGTGCTCCAGACCCTGGCAAATCTGGCTCAGCTATCTCAGGTTAAACCTTTATGGCTTGTTCTGTGCTCCTTTGTAATGTGGGATCTTTGCTTTAATTCGTGTGACAGAATGTGGCGCTGCTTTTACCAGCAAACTGGAGGGCATGTTCAAGGACATGGAACTGTCAAAAGATGTCATGGTTCAGTTTAAGCAGGTACATTTAGCTTGTGTTCGTGTGCTGAATTTTCAGTAGTGATGGGGAAGCACTTAGTGGTGCTATACCTTGGATTAAGATAAACTAAAATGAAACAGCTTTTGAGCAGGTCCTGGTCATAGTAACAGAGTCTATTTATAGTTCTATTTATAGAACAGGATTTATTTATTGTATATCTCTTCAGAGACAGTCTTATTTTACAGCTTTATTTGTTTCCTTTTTAAGTAAATTACACTCTAAATATCACATAGTAATTTAGTTGTCTAACATACTTTAAAATCCATATCCCTTAATTCTGTAAACTGTTGCTGCTCTGATGAATTCTTTGTGAATGACCCACACCACAGAAACTCCCTGAAGGCTGCTAAGCGCACAGAGACCATGTATGTCTCGGCCCCAGAGCTTCCAACCTGTTGGCGACCGAGGGAATGCTTGGAGGAAATACTGTATATGCTCACCCTGTTGTTGCACTTCTCCCTGGGTACCTGTTTTGGGGCCTTATTGACCACAGGATACTGGGATCTGGTAGCGATCTGGTCCAGGACACCTGCTCCTGTAATAAAATACTCTAGGGACTTTTCTGTCCCAGCCTTTGCAGCCTGGCATGACTGATGCTATGCTCAAATTATAAGAAAATGTATTGTCTAACAGATGTGTGGAAGTCCCAGAGGATCCTTTTGATCTTACAGTTCTTGCCCTGGCTTCTGATCAAAAGCTTTTATTTTGCCTTATTTGCGTGTGATTGAAGTTCCTGTAAAGACGGTGGACTGGGATACTTCAAGGCATGTTGTACTTTTCTTTTTACTTCCAACCACTTGCTGTGGTTTGAAACTGGGGACAGGAGCAATAAATAGTAATGGAATTTAAAATCTGGTAGAGCATGTTTAACCAAGGATGTGGCCTGTAAAAATTTTTCATTATTCTACAAACTTTAAATTTCTAATTTAAGTCTACATATTTCTAATTTAGCATGAAACAGTATACTTGAATGATTTCTTTGTCTCTTGTATTTTAGTATATGCAGAACCAAAGTGACCCAGGAAATATAGACCTGACAGTAAATATATTAACTATGGGATATTGGCCAACTTATACACCTATGGAAGTCCACTTAAATTCGGAGGTTAGTGTTAGAATTCTCCTTCTAAATGTGCTTTATGGAGTGGAATCATAATCGCCATCATAGGGTGAACTAATGCCTTCATTTAATGTTTTTTTTCTGCTAGATATTTAAGTGGTTTATCTCATTTTAAAGATTCCAAAATTGGAAAAAATAAAATGTAGTGGATAAAATCCACTTTTTTGTGGTGATTGTTTAACTTAATATGTTTTTTACCATAATAACAATAATAAATAATAATCTAAAATGAGTATTAAAATAAAATCAGTGTCCTATTGAACATTGCAGTCAAGCACTTAAAAGTTTAAAACTGGACAGTTCACCTTAATTTAGTCAATCTTTAGCTACGTTGCTTAGGCATTTGGATCTAGCCAATAGTTATGTTACTGCACAGCCTTTTTTTCTGTAAGATCCTTCCTCTGTTCCCTGCAATGTGTCTCACAAAACTAGCCCCTGCATTTAAATGGCATTTGCCTGAAAAAAAGATTGCTTCCAAGTTGAGACATTTTTGCAAAGCTCCTATCAGTAGCGATTTAAATTGAAAGATGTATTTGGAGTCCTATTTCCTGCAATGCCTTGCTTGATCTGAAATGTGGGAAGCACTTCAGAGGCCAAAGGTGGTAGCAAGGTTCCCATTCAGTTCGGAAGATGTGGAAGCTTTTGTGCTCTTGCTCCTGGGGCATCTTTTCCCCAGTAGCAGACGACTTTGGAAGGATCCAACCTGAGCAACACGTCATGAAAACGGAGGGGTAACAAACCCTTACTTGGAAATAAGAGTGTATGGAGTACTGGAATCAGACTTGAATCTCTACAGGACAAACTAAAGGAAGAACTTGGGAGCGGCTGGTAATAGTCAGTGTATAGGTTTGAGATGTATGCTTCTTGTCCTGGGGTTTCTTGGTCAGATTCAAAGTCCAGGACAAAACCAGTGTTTATTTTTGAGGTTTAAAACCCTTTACAGCGGTTTTATTTGACTTTTATTTAAAACGAACAAACAGACAGACAGAAAGAAAGGCGGGGGGAACTAAAAGCTGTACTTGAATTGAGGCTTTCTTTTGTGCATAATAGTACCAGTGTACTTGAGAGCAGAATTTTGCTCTTCGGATTTAAGTTTTCACACAAAAGCACTTATTATGAAACAGCTTTGAGGACAACCAAAGAAATTACATGTGTGAAATCATCTGGCATCACTGCACTGGTATAACACTAATGAACTTTTTTCTCTCTTTGCTTTACAGATGATAAAGCTTCAAGAGGTATTTAAAACCTTTTACCTGGGAAAACACAGTGGTCGAAAGCTTCAGTGGCAGACCACTTTAGGGCATGCCGTCCTAAAGGCGGAATTTAAAGAAGTAAGTTTGCTTGTTTAATGCTTAGCCTGTTGGGATGAAACTTAAGTCAATTATTTGGAATCTGGTCATGCATTGTATTTTTTATAAAGGTAGTAACATTTTTTGTGGAGGAACAATCACAATTCAATACTGTTATTTGGTATAGAAAGTAGTCTTTTTATAATTAAACTGAAATAACTACCTAGCTCACGGAAGACAACAGTGTGATGCCTTTTGGTAACATTTGTATTTGATAGGAATTGTGGCTCATTCAAATAAAGAAGGTTGTAATAAAGCAGTAAACTAATGAAAGAAAAAAAAATGCAGCATCTTTTTATTTTTAATATGGAATTGTTTTGATCATAGAAATACTGGTGACGCTTCTAGAATGCTTCAGTGATGCAAAAAGAGACTGAGTGTTAGTGATGTAATGACTGTGGTTAAAATTTAAATGCTTGTTGAATTATTTAAGCCTTAAATAACCACATTGGTTCTTAATGTGGTTTTGTTTTGTCTCATGGGAATATCTTGCTAATAATGCAGCTTAATTGAGCCAGAGCAAAGACCCCCCAAAACCTGAATTGTTTTACTAACTCATTGTGAATATGAAACGTAGAGGTTTAGGCATTACGTAACAGTAAGATGGATAGGTTTGTAGCTGTCGATTGACAGAGGTGTTTACAGCTGTCTGAAGAGTTTGAGTTATTTATTTCCTTTCCATTGCCTGTTTGCACAAACATTGTGCTACTGATGACACTGTCACTTTGTATATAGTAAACCAAAATTATCTTCTGTTTCTTTCATATTTGATCCAATGCTGAGATTTCTTTTGTATTAGTTTGCTCATTTCTATGAAATGAAACTTCAGTGAAGTATAAATTCGCTATTGATGGCAGCAAAGCCAGAATTTCAGATATTGTAATTAAAAATGAAGTAAATGATGTGAAGTAAATACAAAGCCATTCTAATGAGCTTCTGCTGTGTGCTGTACTGCTACTGTTAGAATAGCAAAAAAAGAGGTTTTAAAAATATCCTGTTTCCTTGATACTGCCTTCAGGCAGATTCTTCTGTGTGCTAGGCATTCTAAAATGCACGTCGTCTTCTAGAAATAAAAATAAGAATGTATAGGTTCTGTCAACTTTGTATAGTTTCTTGTAAAATTTGGAGGATACATTAGAAATTGCTTTGAATATGAAAGAAAGAATTTCAAGTATCGCTCTTTCAGACATTAGTATTGCTTATGTTTAATGAAGGAGATGAATTCAGTTTTGAAGAAATTAAAATGGCCACTGGTGTAGGTAGGAAGAATACTTTTTGATTCTTAAATTTTTTCATCGAGTGATTACCAATTATGATTTGATATGTAAAGGTCTAACTTTAAGAAATTTGCCATGATCATTAGGACAAACTTTTTGAGCCAATAGTATATAGACACCAAAAGAGATGAGGAAAACACACTGCTGGTACTTCCTAGTGTAGATAAAATAGATGCTTCACAAAATTAACAGTAAGAGCTGTGTAGTGTATGATACTACTAACAACCTATTAGATTTACAAAATGTGTTACTGCAATTCTTAAAATTCAAGTGCTGATAAAGACTGTAGTATGTACAGAGTATTTTTGTTCTACTGCAGTTTCAAATATACTTTGAAAATGATCTGTTGTAGAATACTGTCATTTTGTGGTGATTCAAGAGAGTATTTTCAATTGAGCGGTACTGAGAGCTTGCCCAACTGTTTTCCATTACTGTTGCTGGAGCGTCCCATTTACAATAGGTCTGATTTGTTAAGAAGAGCAGTGTCCAGCAGGGCGTATACTTTGTAGCCGTCTCCCTCTGCACTTGAAGCCTGAAGGCAGAAAGGACAAAGAAAACTGAGGAAAAGTATAGTTTTCTTCTAAGTCACCTGCAGTATCTAAGTTCTGTGTTCTTATGCTCTTGGATGGGATTTTTTTTTTTTTTTAAATTTTTACACTTCCTTGAAATAGTTACGGTCATTGGCATTAAAAATGATAACGGTATCATCGCTTTACTCTCTTGAACTTCTGCGGCAACCAGCAGGTCATACCCAGTAGCCCTGCACATGTTGAATCTTAAGATCAACCCAATACAGCAACTGCTGAGGGAGTATTTGAACCCACACAAGTGCTAAAATACTTTAAATATATTTACTAAAATATTGTAAAATGGGGATATCAAAAATCCCCATGGTTCGAATGATGCGTTGCAGAAGGCAGTACAGCCCAGGTCCTCCAGCTTCTCAGCCTCGAAGCTTTGGGTTGCTTAGTCATCCACTCCATTAATGCTAAGGGAGACGAAGAAAACTCATGCCAGTGTGAATGATAAGCATCACGATCGTCCGGAGAGGCTCATTAGGTCAGAGTACAATGGTTCACACAAGTCTGATCCAGATCCTGTTTTCTCATCTGCTATTGCTGTGCCTTGGAGCTTGAATTCTGGCTGCCTGACAGCAACAGATAAAACCTGCTGCATGGAAATTCTTTACATTATAGCACAATAGAAAGGATTTCAGTAGACTGTTTTTAAGGCAGCTGGATAGAACTGATTGATAGCTGGGAGGTATATATGTTATGTCATGTCATTGTGCTGACTGCCACGTCTGTGTTTCTCTCTCCTATGGGGAAACAGTGTAGGAATGCAGGTAATGAGGACAATTCATGGGGTTCCCATGGGGCCAGGATGGTTGACAGAAAATCTCTGTCTTCCCAGGCTCTTCCTACACAAGGCATTCGGAGCTGCTTTAGAGAGGTCCCATTGCCACCTAGCAGTCTCCCTGCTTCTAAAGGAGAGGAAACTCTTATGGCCAGAAATGATCTCAAAAATAGGTCTGACGCTGCACCCTTCCTGCCTCCTCCTGCTTGGGTGATCCTTTCGCTCATCGGTACCCAGCTGAAGGCTGGTACTCCCAATAGTTGGAAAAGAACAGATTCAGTTATTAGAAAAAGTAGCTGAATTTGTGATGCAGCTGCTTGGTGAATTGACCGCTAAGGGCAGAGGTGCCGACAGCCAGACTCTCAGAGGCTGACCCAGGTGAACCAGAGGTCCTCGCTCATGGATACAAATAACATAGGACATGGCAGAAATCGTGGAGGGCAAAACCTGGGTATTAGGGTTGCCATAAAACCATTTCTAAACGTTGTAAACACCACGTGTAGGGCTAGACAGGCAGAATTGCAATATATGCTTGAAAAAACGACGTATGGAAGAGGGTCTAGTTTTATTAGAAAGTAGGGAAGCCTTTGAAACAGGGGGAACCTGTACAAGACGGATGGGCTCCATCTGCATTCAAAGGGAGTGAAGCTGCTGGCACACTAAAATGTTTGAGAAAATCTGCAGGGTTTGTCGGACTTCTCCCTCCACCATCTAAAAATAACATCCAAGAAGAGTTCAGAGATTGGAAGACATGGGGCAGCTTCTTTAGAAGGAACACCTAAATGTTAGGACTGAACTAAATAGACCAAAAGGTAAATAGAAATCAGTGAACAGGGATTGATTTCTTACTCAAAAAAAAAAAAAAAAAAGCTAGAGGGCATAGAACAAAAACTAAACAGCATGTTATAAAAGCTGGAAGTGTACAGAATTCAGGGAGACAGGTTCAGGGAAGAGCAAAGCACTGAAGGTTTCTCAGTGCATAGAAACCACCTCTGGCTAAGGAAGTCCCTGAGCCCTAAGTGATTGGAGACGTAGGGAGCGGGCGGATGAGGAGAGGAGGAAGAGCAGGGAAGTGTGGAGCTGTATTAGCTTTGCTCTTATGTGCTGCCCTGTGCTCACCTGCTCGTGGCCGCTGCCAGAGGCAGGATGCTGGGCCAGGTGGACCTTCTGACGCAGGGTGCCTGTTCTTCAGGTCTAAACTGAACACTGAAAGGAATACTGAACCTCTTCACACTGCAAGACTGCATCTAACCGCTTCCTGGACTTTGGTGTTCACGTGTGCCAGCTCCTTCTGGGGGGTGGTGGAAGCCTTGTGCAGTTTTTATTTAACTACCATGTGTTTATGTTGAGACCCTATTATGAGCTGTTACCCAGTCTTTACACATTGGTGTTTACTGCAGAAGAGTGCAGCCAGCCATGCCCATGCCATAGGGCAGAAATAAAATATTGCAAGTTGAAGTGTCAGTAAAGGGTTTAGAGCAGATCAGTAAATCAGACAGTAAATTAGACCACCACCAACTGGTAGAATTCATCCAGAAGCTTTACGGGAACTTTCCAATATAAATACTGAATTAGTTTGACTAGTTTGTAATTTAAGTGAGCGTTGGTGTGAGAAGAATGGCAAGTGACAAGAGCAATGCTAATTTTTTTTAATTTATTTTTTAAGTTCATGGCGTAATTCTGCAGATTACTGCAGGGTAGCAGGTCTGTACTGGGAAGAACAGAACTGGTAGGCTCATGGATAAGTGTATATTAGGGAAGAGCCAGCATGATTTATGCAATGCATAATGTCCCTTTCAAGCTCTTTGAGGGAGTCAGCAAGCATATGCACAACGATAATTGTGCATTTGAGTTTTAAAAAGTTCTTGATAAGAGCTCCTCACAAGCTCTAAAATAAACTAAGTTTTCATGGCTTGAGAGCGAAGTTCCTCTTAGGGGTGAATAATTGATTAAAAGACAGGAAACAACAGGTAGAAATGAATGGGTAGCTTTCGTAGTGAAAGGAAGCTCCTATCCGAGATCCCCAGGTATTATTCAACATAGTCATTAAAGATCTGAAGATGAATACTGATGTGACAGAATTTGATGTCGATTCCTTCGGAAGGTCAAATCTGAACCTTCTAAAAATGTTTAAAAAGGATCTCAAACTGTTGAACAATTAGGAGATCAAATTGCATCCAGTGTTGATGAATATAAGGATGTCTGTAGTGGGGAAATAACCTTAACCAGATGTCAGAGATTGGCTTTGTTAGATATGACTGCTCAGGAATGAAGTTGTGCAGTCATTGTGTTCCCTGAAAACATCAACTGAAAGTTCATCAGTGATCAGAAGGGCAAAAAGTGTACTGGTAACTGCTGGGGAAGTCATTGAGAACAAAGCAGAAGCATAGTCGTGCTTTGTGTGCTTGTGTTTGGATACTTCATAGATTTCAGCCCATCTCTAAAATCGTATAGTAGAATTAGATAAGGACAAAGAAAGATGAAGAAGAAATACGGACGGTATCGAACAGTTGCCATGCAGAGGATGGAGAGTTCATCTCTTAAACTTGGGACGTGGTAGTTTGGAGAGAGGTGAAAAGGAGGAAATACAATAGTCTGTAGAATTACAAATGGCTTCGAGACAGCGAATAGTGAATTCACTGGCCCTCACAGTACAAGAATTCAGGGATCTCTTAGCTTCTCCGTTTGTTACCAGCCAAGTCAAAGAACCCATGTTGGGTGAGGCAGACATTTTGATCCGATACGTGTAACATATAATGTAGTTATTCTCAACTGAAACTGAGTTAGCTACCTAAGATTAATGGCAGGCCTTAAAGTGCTAACTCTCAAACATCAAATCAACTCAAATTGAGTCAGCATCCAATTTCTTGCACGTACATTGATTTTTAATTGAGAACACCATAAAGGCGGTCCTAAGGTATATTCTGCTTATTTAATATATTCCTGTGGACCTCTTACTATATAAGCATCTTGAATAATGTACTGGAATGAGGTGTGAAGCATTTGGGATTTTCCAGTGTTACAAAAATCTGTTTGGCAAGTTTGCCTCAGCAGGAGAAGAAAGAGTACCAGCTTTAGCAGTGCTTCCGTGGGGGTTCATCAGGTCTATCGGTCATGTCTCCCCAGCTCCCTGCTGGCTATAGCGGAATATAGTGCCACTCAGGTAAACATTTGGTTTTTTTGCTCAAGAGTCATACTGCAGTTAATATAAAGAAATGGCTGGTCAGTATGGCAGAAACCAGTAAGACAGCATGACTTACAACTTTCAGTCACTTAAGCAAGTGCTGTCACAAAATAAAACCTAGCAATTTGTGTTCAGTGCTGTACCTGACAGGATAGGACAGCCACAGCCAGAGTTCCAGTTCTTTAATACATCTTTCATACGTTCATTATCTACTACATATATAATTTTACAGAGGTGAATATGATATATTCTGTGGTTCTGTTGTCCAGACACTTATTCATTTATGCAGCTTCAGTATTAGCTACATTGCTGTGTTTACAGTATTACAAGTTAGTTTTGTAAACATCTTGCACTTAAAGTAAGTGGGTACCTGGATATCAAAACCCCGGGTATGGAAACAGTTCAGGCAACTGGTCTCTATGTGCATTTCCGACTTTGTCTATTGTATCTTTATATTCCGTTGCCATCTAACACAAAATACATATACTTTGGGGGGTCAAAAAGTCATACTCATATGAATTTTGCTCATGCTAAGTAGAAGAGTACCTCATGGGCAATTACCATATTACTAAAAACGAACAAACAAAACATCGCATGGATTTCTGCCCCTTTGGGATATCACTGTCTTCATCTGCGTTAACTGGCCATAGTTGGAACTCGTGTTTTCCAGTCACTGTTAAAATAAATTACCGCCACTCTCTTTAAAGAGATGAGACTGTCTCTCGTACATTACTGCAGTTAGAAAATGCATAAACTGTCACTCAGGGAAAGAATGGTTACCTCCTCTTTGGTAACCGTGCTTCTTTGAGATGTGTTGTTCAAGTATACTCCATGTTTTTACCTGTCTTTCTCATTATCGAGAAAGCCTCTAGGAGCTGTAGTTTTTACTTTTACTTCGTGATTGATAGGTAATTGCAGGTTCCTTCCCTTTGGCATACTGTAACCTGCGACTTAGCATGCAGGGCAGAAGCAAAGCTCCAACGTATACCGAGTGTTTTTAACAGCATCCTTGTGTTCGGACAAAAACACAACTCAACAACCTGCATTTACTGAAGGTGAAACACCCAAAAGGTGTGAAAAGTCATAAATGCCTGTTTAGTCAATATGGTTTAAAGGTTTTTTTAGTAATCATAGAACAGCTGGAAGTTTAAAAAAGGGAAAAGGTCACACTGTGTGAAAGTTATTTTAGAAATAATAATAGTGTTAATCTTTTACTCAGCTGCACTGCAATTCAGCACTAGATTGCAAAACCTTTCTTTCAATTTTTAGACTAAAACTGTTCAGGAGGTCCAATGCATTTGGTGACAATTTTATATTGTGAATAAAAGTGTTCTAGAGACTGCAGAGGCTGTTTTAATGCAAAATCTTGATACAAGACTTTGGAACATAATTATTAGAATGCTTTAGACTTCATTTTATCTACTTGTTCAAATGCTTCTGGCTATAAATCTTACCAGATAGAATTTTCCTCACCCACTTGTTTCTACTACTTTCCTGTTGTGGGGGAAGTTTGTGACTATAACAACTGTCAGCTCTGCCTTATCACAAAACATCTTCCTATCAACTTAGATTTCTTTTTATTAGATATTTTCTGGTGTGTGTTAAAAATAGCAATGAAATCATAAAATGGGTGGATCGAGTTTGTCATAGAGTGATTTTTTTTTTTTTTCCCCTTCTGAAGTCCTGTTACTACCAAACAAAACTAAAGCAATAAAATCAGGCTCATGTTAACATGAAGTCTTTTCTGAAACTACTTGTGGATGGAAAGCTCACCGAGGTGAGCCTGAGCCTGTCTTCCTGACATGTACAATTCTGTGCATGCTCTCAGCATGTGAAAGATGCGAGCCCAAGCTCAAAGGCTGCAAGTTGTTACCTAACTGGAACTTAGCTGGAAGGAGGCATTAAGATACAACCAGTAACTTTTCAATTGTATTTCTAGATTAATCACATGAAACTCTTCATGTTAATGTTTTGTTCTGCTTTCTCCCATACTCTGAACTTCTTCACAGAGGACAGTGAATTAAGAAGAACCTTGCAGTCTTTAGCTTGTGGAAAAGCACGAGTATTGATTAAAAATCCAAAGGGCAAGGATGTAGAAGATGGAGATAAATTCATCTTTAACGGTGATTTCAAGCATAAATTGTTTAGAATAAAGATCAACCAAATCCAAATGAAAGAAACAGTATGTATTTATTTTTTTTGTATTCATTCTGTTTGTGTTAACTGAAGTGAGTTTTTAAGATTTAGTTTAATTTATCAAATAGATTTAAAATAAGGCATACATTTTTTTTCTTTACATTATCCTTAATTTTATTTGGCTTGCTTTAGCAGTACACTTCAGAATCACTTAGTTCGTAGCATGCAGTAATGCATGCATCTGTCTCAAAGATGAGTAAGAATACATGAGTTGCATTTAATTTGAAAGGTTAACTATAGAAATATAATTGATAAATTAGCAAAAAAGGTGGTATGACTGGTGGTGTTGTATTGTTCTTTAGGTCGAGGAACAGGTCAGCACAACTGAGAGAGTATTTCAAGACAGACAATATCAGATTGATGCTGCTATTGTACGAATAATGAAGATGAGAAAGACTCTTGGTCATAATCTCCTTGTTTCTGAATTGTATAATCAACTGAAATTTCCTGTAAAGGTAACTGATTTTGTTTTTCAAACCATCCTAGAATTATCTAAAAATATGTAATATATTTTTCCATTCAGCTGGCCCATAAGAGTAAGAAATGTGAAATATGTCTGAATCAAATCTGAAGATTAAGGTATTAAAATGAGTGTGTGAACAGAAATAAGCCAGAGTATCAGTAGGAAATTATATTTAGATATCGACTATGGCGCATTTTCTTATGTAGCTGTCAGCAGTCCTATTTTTTAAAATGTAATATAAATGCAAATATATTTTTAACTGCTTTACTAATCTCATCTTTTCTTGTAGCCTGGAGACTTGAAAAAGAGGATTGAATCTCTCATTGACAGAGACTATATGGAGAGAGACAAAGACAACCCCAATCAGTACCACTATGTTGCATAATGGAGAGGAAATGCTTTTACTTAAAAAAAAAAAAAAAATAAATAAAAAAACCCCAAAATAAAAACCAAAATCATCCACATATATCTTCAGGACACCGAATACCTATGCTGTTCCAGACTTTCATTTTAGCAGATTTCAGGTTGATGTATATTATTCAACCAGCTGCATGCACTGCTGTGGAAGAGAAGCAAAATGACATGTTAATTGATCATCCTTGTCAAGACTCGTTACAAATTTTAAACGTCATTATTTTTATTTCTTTCAGTTACTCTTTTGTTCTTTTGGGTTCTTCAAAATTTAGTTTTATAGTTTTGTTTAACACTGTCATTGAAGTTGGATGGAAAGGTAAAATTACCTGTGTGAGAAATACTTCTGTGATGGATGCAAGTCTGGTTTCTTCATTTCTGTGTTCCTAACTGCATCCATAAAGACCCTATATGCTGCATTCTTTAGCTACAGTGACAACTTGGGTACCTTTTTAAAAACCCTTAACTGATGAACACGTATGTCCAAGCAGTGTTGTTGAAATACACTGAGTTTTTGAAATTGTGCACCATGAAAACCCTTAAACTTGTGTTCAATTAATTTTCTTTCAAATGATTATAAACTTCAGTCTGGTTTAGATAAATCAGGTTTTGAAGTGAGATCCTTGAAGTGCCAAGAGGACAGCTGTGTTCATGTGTGTAGTGAGTTGTTGGATTATTTAGCTAAGATACGGATTATTATTTTACTACTACTTCTGCTGGCTTGGGTGGCAAAGATTAGATCTGAGTCAGAGGCCCTACCTCATTTTAGGGCAACTGGTGTTTATCACTGTTTATGTAATTGCCGTAACATTTAGTTTTGCCTTTAAAATAACATACAGGGAACCTACTGTACAGTGTGCTCCACTTCAAAGAAACAAAAACTTTTTTTTAAAAAGACTTTTATGGTCCCGATATTGTGAAAGCATCGTTTTTTGTCTTGAAAGACTAAGGATTTTGTGAGTACTTTGTTACATATTGTATATATGTAAGTTGATTTGAATTAAAGAATGAAAGACACTGTAGATCTGTTAGGTAATTGTAACTTAAGGAAGACACCTTTTGTGGTAATACTTACAAGACACTGTTTGTTTTCCAGATTTGCATACTGGTGTGTTTCATTCTGAAAAAGAGCTACCAAAGGAGTTTTGATTATGGCATAAATGAGAATTTAACTGAGCAATATTTTCTTGAGAGATACCTTAGTTAAGTTTATGTAACAGGGGTTTTGTGCATCAATTAAAAGGCCACCACCTCTTCTTAAAGTAAACATTGCTAAGAGTTGACATCTTGTGGATTTACTTATTAAAGTCCTTGTTCTGTCATCTGGTGTCATTAATTGTATTGCATTCTTCTGAATTATTTTTGTTCCCTTTGTGTTTAGAAACTAAACACATTTAGTTTATTTTATTTAAAATATATTTAATATTGTAATTTAATGTAGACTTATTTTAATATTTGAATCTTCAGTTTATGCAAATAAAATCTTTGATGCATATTAAGTATTAATTTCTTAGCCTTTGTGAGAATGTGGCACACTTCACTTTATTCATGCAGTTTGCTCCTTAGCGTTAATTATACCATTCACCTTGTAATTCACTTTCTATGCATCTGGAAGCCGATCATGCATCTCACTAGGCTCTTAAAACAAAAAGGAGGATGTGCCTCACAGGAACGTCACGGGCAGAGGCTTTATCCACACAGAAAGCTGGCAGTAGTAGTATGCAGTAACTGATACCAAGCCGCGAATGCGTACTGCCTTCCCTTTCTGAACCCCAGCTTCCTGGTTCAATGGTTTTAAACAATAGGCTGAAAGCAGTGGTGTTATCCTGAAGACGACTGAAATGGTTCTGCTTTACGAAGTAACGTTAATTGATTAAAAGTGCTGAGATGTGCAGTTTTTCTTAATTGCCATAGACTAGAACTCTTTGGCCAAATTACTCTGGTAGAGCAATTAATGAGTTGTTCCACGAGTGGTGGAAATAATGAAGCCTGGCTTTCTGCAATGTATGCACTTTGTCCCCCACTGTATCATCCCCCCCTCAAATAACCTCAAGCAGCAGTACCGCAGAGGGGTTTTCTGCTTAGTTCTGCCTTTCTGCTCGTGGGAGCGTTGGTTTTGTTCTCCTTTATCCAGCTGCTGATCTTCACCCATCCCCTTACCTCCCAAACCTACAGAGAATGTAACAATCTCTGAAGTCTTTTACCCTTCCAAATTAGTCTGAAAGTGGCTTCAGAGGTTCAAAAGCTATGGGAGAGATGGATAGGCCAGGTGCCCATGACTTTTTCTCAGGTCCTCATTTTTTATTTGATATCCTCAAATTTCTCTCCCTGGGATTTTGTATGTGCTGAACCAAACAGGCGAGCAATTAGTTTATTAGTCAGCATAGTAATCACTTCTTCCTAGCAAAAGAGCTGCATTTGGTTGCTTTTTGATAGCTGGTGATAGAATTTGGCTGAGCATCCAGTCTCAACCAGTTGTTGGTTTGATGCCAACTATTTGGTTCACATCGCCCCCTGAATGTATTTGTGCCCACAGGGCAGAGGGTGCGAAAAGGTTCTTCCTGGAAGATCACCCAGTGTTGAAGACATCAGGCTGTAGCCAAGTAACAGCTTTCCTCTGTAGTGCATCTGTGTTCAGAAGATGTCTTGAAAACCTGCATCTTGGCAATTCAGCATCCTAATCTGCGATGTGGCTAGGGGCTCTCCAACCTTACCAAAACCTTCCAACTGAATTGGAAATTTTTGCGTTAAACTCAGTTTAACTTAAAACATTCAGCTACCTCATTCAGACATATGTTACATGTATCTAAAAAGGAATTTTCCTAAATGTGACGCCCTGTCATCTAGCCCAACGTTTCCTGAGGGAAAGTGAGTGCGAGAATGCAGGCTGACGGCTGACTTGCGGGTGCTTCCCAAGTCAGGCACTTAGAGCTCTCCTTACCAGCCACCGACAGCCTCCTTCCTGTCCACTCCTTGTGTCCCATTTTCCTAGTTCTGTATTTTAGCTTCCCTTGTATTCCTTTATCTGAACCCAGGGTTATCATTTAACTCCCTTGGTCTGCTGCAGCTTCTTCCTTCCTTTCTTTGTGCTATGCACCTTTGAAAAAAAATTACACCCCTTTCCAGGCAACTTTACTGCGTCGATTTGTTATGCAGATAGACCTATTTGTAGGTTTATGATCTTTGGCAGGTGCGTTAGGGAGAGCGGACTCTGTACTATAACCTTGGTTACCTATTCCTAGCAAGTCTATCCAGAGAGAAAATAACCCGGTGAAGTTGGATAACATGCAGGAAAAGGCTACAGGAAAAAGAGAGTCATGTTTTGTAGACATTCTTTCCTGGGAAAAATTGCCAACCTGTACGTTGTCTTCCATGCTAGTATTCTGCCACGACTTTGCAGAACAGCTTGTGTTGTAGTACCAGCTCCTAGGTCTTGTTGGTATTTCCCATGTTCTTCCCCATAAGCAGCCGTTCTGCATCCACAGCTCCTCAGGGCCCGGAGATGTGCCGTGGCTAACCTGGAACTGGGTGCGGGCTGGCTGGCCAGCAGTTCTGTCAAACAAAATGTGTAAGGGCTGGATATGGACTACGTTTCCCTCAGTGACAGCACTAATCTGGATCTCCGGGCTGCCTATATACCAGCTTTTACAGGAGCTGTAACTTTGTGTTTGTTTATGTCTTACCCTGCTATCAAGTTTGATTGATGTTGGCCATCAAATTATTGAGCAGTGAGGCTGATGGCCAACATGGTTGCATAAGGCTTATTTCATCAGGAAAGCAGGCTAACACACACCCTGGTCCTATTTCTGCTGACAATGACACAGAGATGGGGTTTTGTGCAGTCCACGCCAGCATAAAAAGCTTAGTAAGCTAATGATCCACAGCATGTAAGATCAACATCATTCTCTGCTGATAGCCTTACGTTCTTACCAATTTCTTGCCACAATACTGTTGCTTGATGCAACTTATGTATTGGTATTAATTAGCAGTTATCCAAGCATATGTCATTTTTCAATTTATAGACAGCTGTTTTCCAGTAGAGGGGCAGACTGCTGCACAGCAAGTTTCAACCTGACATTGGGCCTCCCTCTCTATTTTGTTTTCTGGTAGACTTCAAGTAGTCCGCAGACCTCCCTTCACTCCCCGCGCAGGTTCCAAAAACAGTGATCAAAAAATGAGAACAGCCGATGTCCCACCTCCATTAACCTCAACTCCTCTGCAGATGACTCATTCAAACACTTGACCAGAGCTGTTCCTTATGTCCTTTTTCAAGCTGACTAACTTCTGCTTTTGGCAATACATGGCAAGAATAAAGATTGCTAGAAGCACAGCAGGGAAAAGCAAACAAACTAAATCATTCCTTTCTCTAAAATAGCACGGCTAAAATGCAGCACTAAGAAAGAAATGACTGTTTGTAGCAATAGCATTGAAAAAGAAAGGCAGATCCCCAAGCCACCCTGAAGAGCAAATAAACTCCTCTAGGATGTTTTGGGGAAATAGGAAGTGTAAGTGAACTGAGACAAACATCAGGGAAAGGTCATCGAGTTTAGAGTGCCTGGACTTGACTTCAGCGGCTGGTAGTAGCTAAATTGCATTTCAAATTGGTTCTAAGTAAAAATGCATGAAGGCAGCTTGGGAGCATAAAGGATTGTGTCTCAGAGCTGATTAATCTGGAGTACACTGTAATGAGGAGAAGGATGACATGGCAGTCATTTTGCGAAAGCAGAAGCACCCTGCTGTTGGCATGCTTTCCAATAGTACTTGAAATAGGATTTCAGTAGCAAAACAAGTACAGATGAGGTTTCAGATGAAGAAAGCATATCCTTAACAGCTTACATAAGAAAGAGCGTTGAATTACAGGGATCAAATGGCCTGGGCTCTGTATCTCCATTACTATGCTAACATCTGACAACGTCAACAGACGAACTTCACCTCTTTTTTTGCTAGTTATCTCCAAAAAAAGGGGATTTCTTA